GCTTCCTCAGTCAGCTTCAGGATGTCTTCTGTGTCTTTTAAATCTTTGTTTGCCCGCCAAAAATTCTTCTTTGTCGGTCCGTGATGATTTGCTGTGACGCGCCCGAAAGAGCGTTGCGTCACTTCCGGTTCGTTCTTATTACATGTCCCATAGTTCTTTGCGTTCATGGGTATCACTTCCGGTTGCAAACCACTGTAGTGATGGGTAATGTAGTCCTTAATATCGCCACTTTCTAGTTCATATTTCAGTTCGTATCGGACTCAGAATAGAGAACCGAAATGGCATAAAAAAGTATCAAAAGAGCAAAAAACGTGTATCAATGTTCAATATTCCATATTAGTATAAATTTTCAAATATAAATAAATAAGCAGTGTATAAAATGCATCTTGTGAACAATACATATTCTGCAATTGGTAAATATTTCATACTATATATTTCTTATTTCAGAAACAAGGAAGGGGGGGAAATGAGAGTGCTTTGAGTGGACTTTATATTAAGGACTTTAAATTGTATACAATAAGTGTTCAACATGGTTTTACCTCTAAATCTCATTTATAATTAGGATTATAGACTTATACACAGGTCCCATGGTTTGGAAAAATTTAACTTAAATGGTTTTAATGTCTCTTGCAGTTAATGAATCCTGTCTTTTTGTTAAAAATGTATAAAAAATATATTAAAAATATATAAAAATAAAAAATATATATATTTTCAACACTTATTTTTAAAAAGTAAATTCTTCCTGTTAAAGTAATAAATGGAAGAAATATATATGTACTTTGAAAAAAAATGTATATATATTTTTAAAATAATCAATTATAAAAAAATGACATAATTCAAAATCTGCATTAAGACCTAAGGGGGCTAAAGTATTCAAATTAAAAATCCATTTTAATTCGATTTTTCCTAATTTCCTTATTTCATCCTCCCCTCTCCAGTTTAATGTGACTTTTTGGATAGCATAAAAGTCTAGAAATTGTGGATCTTTGTTGTGTACTAGTCTGAAATGATCTGAAACGCTGTGTTTTTCGAAACCTTTTCTTATGTTACGTACATGTTCATTTATTCTTACATTTAAAGGGCGTTTCGTTCTCCCTACATAAAGGAGATTACAGGAACATTTCAATAAATATATGACTCTTTTTGAGAAGCATGTAGTCATTTCATGTATTTCATATTTCCTTTCTCTTTTGGAATCATAGAATTCTGTAATGTGTCTTTTTCCACTCTTTGTGCTTCTACAGGCTAGACACTGTCCACAACCGAAAAAACCTTTGTTTTGAAAAAAAGGGGTAAATGTTTGGTGTCTTATGTGGTTACGTATCAATTTCTGTTTTAAGTTAGGAGCTCCTCTATATATAAATCTCGATTTTTCTGGCAGTATAGAGTATAGCATTGGGTCGTTTCTTAGCAAAGGCCAGTGTCTATTTATAATTCTTTTTATTCTGTGGCTTTCTTGGTTAAAATTGCAGATTAAAGGTAAGGTGTTTTGTTCGTTTTTTACTTTGGGCTTGTATTTTAATAGTGAAGATGTCTCCATGGTTTCTACTTCTTTTATAGTATTTGTAAGGGAGTTTTCCATATATCCCTTCTCCATAAATTGATTTTTAATTCTATTGGCTTGGACTTTAAAAGTGCTTTGGTCAGTGCAATTCCTACGGATTCTCATTAGTTGTGCTTTGGAATGTTTCTCAATCAAGAGGAAAAATGACAACTATTTAAAAAAATGTAGTTGTTAACATCTACCTGTTTAAAAAAGGTCTTTGTCTTGATATGGTTATCTTCTATAAAAATTGTGAGATCTACAAAATTAACACTTCTGTGCTATATTCCGTAGTTAGTTTAACTCCCCAATCGTTTGTGTTTAAAAAAGCTAAAAATGTCTTGAGTAGATCCTCTGAACCATTCCAAAGAAAAAATATGTCATCTATGTACCGCTTATAGGAAACCAGGTTCGCTCTCCAGTCTTCATTCTCATTGATGTATTCTTCTTCCCAGAACGCCATGAATAAATTGGCATAGCTGGGAGCGAAACTGGTTCCCATAGCGGTACCAACTTTCTGTAGAAAAAACTCATTATTGAACCAAAAATAGTTGTTACTTAAAATTAGTTCTATTCCCTCTATTATAAAATTTATTTTTAACTTTACAGTTGTGCTCAAATGTTTGCACACCCTGGCAGAAATTGTGACATTTTGGCATTGATTTTGAAAGTGTGACTGATCATGCAAAAGAAACTATTTTATTGAAGGGTAGTGATCCATTTATTATCACATAGTTGTTTGGCTCCTTTTTAAATCATAATAACAGAAATAATCCAAATGGTTCTGATCAAATGTTTACATACCCTTGAATTGGCGTTGTTACAGACACACAAGACACATGTTTAAATGGCAATTAAAGGTTAATTTCCCACACGTGTGGCCTTTTCAATTGCAATTAGTGTCTGTGTATAAATAGTCAATGAGTTTGTTAGCTCTCACGTGGCTGCACTGAGATATGGGGAGCAGAAAAGAACTGTCAAAAGACCTGCGTAACAAGTTGCCCTTCCAGTGGTTACAGCAAAAAAAAGTAAAGGTTCTGGAATGGCCACCACAGTCTACTGATCTTAATATCATACTCACAGCTACTCACAGTAATTGTCACACACCAATCACAGCTACTCACACAACTACACATAACACTGACAGCTCTCATCTCATCTCATCACAATTAAACACTAGAGTTGAGCGGACACCTGGATGTTCGGGTCCAGCGGGTTCAGCCGAACTTTGAAAAAAAGTCCGGGTTCGTGCTGGAACTTGACCCTGAAAATGAACCCCATTGAAGTCAATGGGGACCTGAACTTTTGGGCACAAAAATCCCTCTAAAAAAGTCCTGGAAAGGGCTAGAGGGCTGCAAACAAATGTGGATAGGGAAATTACTTAAAATAACATAAAAAATAAAAATACAGCTGAGCCATAAAATAGCACTAGATGGAATCTTTGATTTTAGCTTTGGAAGAACATAAATCAAAATCTAAAGCATGGCTGTCAGGAGGATCACCAGAATTATCCATTTGAGAGAGGGTTGGAGTGCAGGGTATTCTCTTTGTTCAAACTGAGCTCAACTCCTAATGCATGGAGAAAAGGCCTTCACAAGCCTCTGCTGTTGTGTACATAGTTTAAACTAAGTGACCCATAGGTTGAGGAGGCGGTGACCGTGGCGGTGTAGGTGGAAGCGGCGGTGGAGAAGGAGGAGGTAGTCAACACTGTTTTTTATTTGTTTGTGTTTATTTTTATTTTTTTTATTGGGGTAGCCCCCAAAACATTGGGACATATAAAAAAAAAAAACATTTCCGGCCTGCGGTGCATTTCTTGCAGTCCTGATGCATGGAGAAATGCTCAACTCCTGATGCGTGGAGAAAAGGCCTTCACAAGCCTCTGCTATTGTGTACATAGTTTATACTAAGTGACCCATAGGTTGAGGAGGCGGTGACCGTGGCGGTGTAGGTGGAAGTAGCGGTGGAGGAGGAGGAGGAGGTAGCCAACACTGTTTTATATATATATTTATATATATATATATATATATATAAAAATATATATATTTTTTTAAATTGGGGTAGCCCCCAAAATGTTGAGACATATAAAAAAAGAAAACTCTGTTCCGCAGAGCGACAGACCCGTGTGTGCTGCAGCTGAAACTCCACTATCGCCTGCTGCTCGCACAGTCTCATGAGGCGGTGAGCGTGAAGGCCGAAGTTAAGCTACAGTGCAGACAGGCGAGCAGCAGCAGGGTGAGAACGTCAAAGCGCGCACATATGTCCCTCACTTTCTGCAGCAGCTCTGATATATCTGAGTTTTTCAGGAATTTCTGCACTACCAAATTCAGCACATGCGCCAGGCAAGGGATATGCGTCAAACCGGCTAGACCCAGAGCTGCTACGAGATTTCACCCATTATCGCACACCACCAGGCCAGGCTTGAGGCTCAGTGGCATCAACCACTCATCGGTCTGTTGTTCCATGCCCGTCCACAGCTCCTGCGCGGTGTGGGGTTTCCCCCCCCAAACATTTGAGTTATAAAACAGCCTGCTGTTGTTTCCCCCTGGCTGTGCTGAAGTTGGTTGTGAAGGTGTTACGCTGACTGGATGAGGAGGTGGAAGAGGAGGAGGAAGCGGAGTAGGAGGAGGAGGCAACAGGACACAAAGCTGTGTACCCAAATAAAGATTGTCAAATGTTGTATCCTGAAACTGTGTCCCATCCGGTTTCTGGGGAAATGGGTCTGACCTATTCTAATCAAAGGGGATAACCATCGGTTGCCCAGGTCCCGCTTCAATTGGTGACAAGCGGCAGGATCCCATGTCCCTGCCAACAGACCCATGGACTACAGTACAATAAAGCGACCTACACTGCAGGTCTTGTGTGGAGCCAGAGGACTAACGCCTTGTGGGCGAAACAAGGCCGAATTGACTGCTGCGCTCATGGAGGATGACCAGGCACGCAGTGAGGCAACGAACCCCAGCCAGGGGCCGTAGATGAGAAGGAAGTGCGCAAGGAACTGGAACGGCAGCTGGCATATTACCAAGAGCCATCCTCAGAGGAGATTGTCAGCAGGACCTTTTTGGAGGTGCAAGCCTATGTCCTTGCCAATAGACAGAGAGCGACCTCCATGAACCCAGATGAAGGAAGAAGGGAGCAGAGGGCGCCAGGAAGCACAACCACCCTGGCCCACAGGCTACCATATAATGCCTTCAAAAACTTCAAGGAAGCAGAAGAAGGCATCGATGACTTTTTACAAGACTTTGAGCGCCAGTGCCTACTCCAAGACGTGGACCCCAGCGACTGGGTCACCATCCTGGCCAGCAAACTAGTGGGGAAGGCAGCGCCGAGCAATACCGCCGAAAGATTAGTGAGACCCGGAAAGGGGACAAGGACTTCTATGCGGAGTGGGCATGCCGCATCACAAGGGCCACCCAGAACTGGCTCAACTCCCATCAAGCCAAGTTCCCGGAGGAGATCACCCAGCTCGTCATGCTAGAGCACTTTTTCAATGGGCTCCCCAACGACAAGGCGACAACGCATTCGTATGTCATCCATATCAACTTTTGATGCCACTTTCTGCGCCTACCATGGTGATCACGGGTAATGGGGAATCAGGGTTCAATTCCAGAGAGGGAGCCTGAGAAATGGCTACCACATGCAAAGTAGGCAGCAGGCGCGCAAATGACCCACTCCCGACACGGGAAGGTAGTGATGACAAATAACAATACAGGACTCTTTAGAGGCCCTGTAATTGTAATGAGTCCACTTGAAATTCTTTAACTCTGATCAATTGGAGGGCAAGTCTGGTGCAGAGCAACTGACCCGTGCATGCTATAGCTGAAACTCCACTATCGCCTGCTGCTGCTCGCACAGTCTCTCCAGCATGTGCAAGGTGGAGTTCCACCTCGTGGGCACATCGCATTTGAGGCGGTGAGCGGGAAGGCCAAAGTTACACTGCAGCGCAGACAGGCGAGCAGCAGCAGGGTGAGAATGGCGAAACCGCGCACAGCTGCTGCAGTGAATGTCGCATCCTGTTCCAAGTTGCGGATCAGTCTGGTGATGGCTTCTGGTATCCAGTATTCTTTTAACTGAAGCTGCATCAGGGTCCTGGTATGTGGCCGCACAAATGCTGGTGCTCAACGCCAGGGGGCGTGTGGTTACCCTGCACCAGACCCTGCTAATCCATTCCACACTGTGACTCCTAACTTCAACATCAGGCATACTAGGTCCCTGTCGTCCGACCGCCGCCCAGACAGTGTCTGGGTCCCGGTCACCGGACTTCAAAACTGCGAATGGCTTGTTAAATCTGTTATGGTTCCTTTTATCGCTACATCTGTTACTTGGATAACTGTGGGAATTCTAAAGATAATACATGCCGACGAGCGCTAGGGGACGGCCACTCCGCTTTTGCACCCTGCTCCCTCTTATGCTGTGCTGGTGCCTATGTGCGACTAGCGACTCTTCCTCCAAACTGCACTTGCATGACCTTCATTCCATGTGGGATCTAGGACCTCATCATCTTCCACATCATCTTCCACCCACTCCTTAACCCTGCCCTCCTTGCCGGTCTGCATACTGCAGAAAGCCACAGCAGTTGGCACCTGTGTTTTTCCAGCATGTAAAGTCTGCAAAGGACATATGGAAATTGTTTTAGAATTGTATCCAGGCAACAGTTTTCCCTATAAACTGACCTCTGACTGGTATTTGACGGTTCTATTTGACTGTCAGATATGAAGTGCATACCCCAAATTTACTTTTTATCAACCAAAACAAATTTAATTTTTCAAAGTGCACTGAAAGCACAGTATTTGACGGTTCTATTCGACACTCAGATATGAAGTGCACCCCGCTAATGTACTTTTTAGCACCCAAAAAAATTTACGTTTAAAACTGCAATGTGACAGCAGTATTTGACGGTTCTATTTGACTCTCAGATATGAAGTGCACCCCGCTAATGTACTTTTTAGCACCCAAAAAATTGTAAGTTTTAAAACTGCAATGTGACAGCAGCATTTGACGCTTCTATTTGACTCTCAGATATGAAGTGCACCCCACTAGTGTACTTTTTAGCACCCAAAAATGTTTACGTTTTTAAAAAAGCAATGTGACAGCAGTATTTGATGCTTCTATTTGAGTCTCAGATATGAAGTGCACCCCACTAATGTACTTTTTAGCACCAAAAATTTTTACGTTTTAAAACTGCAATGTGACAGCAGTATTTGAAGCTTCTATTTGACCCTCAGATATGAAGTGCACCCCACTAATGTACTAGTTTGCAGAATTCTTTCCTAATCTGTCCCTGAAAGCGGCAGCATCCTCTCCCTGCACTAATAAGAGCTCATGTGCGTGCGGCGCTACGTGACTCCAGCTTATATATAGAGCCTGGGTCACATGCTGCACTGGCCAGTCACAGCCATGCCATTAGTAGGCATGACTGTGATGGCTTCTAATGGCACACAAGTCAAACACTTTTTGATTGGCTGCCCTGCAGCCTTTCAAAACGAGCTATTAAATCGCCGAAAACCGAACGTCAACCCGAACATACAGTGATATGTCCGTGTTCGGGTCCGGGGTCCAAAAAACGTAATGTTCGGTACGAACCCGAACTTTACAGTCCAGGTTCGCTCAACTCTATTAAACACACATTACATATGCATCACATATAGAAAGCCACAACACACACCTCACACACAGCTACAACACTCACAAACACCCTACACCTACACATCCACTCAACATTTTCATAAATATTTACATAACATAACATTAAAAAACAACATGTAGGATAAATTACCCAGTGTACACCTATGTCCATAATACATGTTTTAAGGGAATTTCTGTGTGTGGAACAAGCCGAGCATAGCATGTACCACTTCACAATGAAGCAGTCTAGCAATACTATTTCATTGGCCCCAAGACTGCGCAATCACCCAGGAAACCAATAAAGTAATGGAAATGTTATCACTAAGCCTGGGCTCTTATCCACTTAATAGTGCATTGTGAGGACGAGTGTTAGCAAGAGTTAGGATTAGTTAGAGTTATGGCTGCTAAGATTAGGGTTCATTAGTGTTAGGAATAGCTAGGGGCAGTTAGGGTTAGCTTTGATTACGGTTGGTTAGGGTTTTCATTGAAAAATGAAATTAACATAACTATGGAAAGACCCTACAACTTCTCAAAACAAGGTTTACATGAAAATAAATAAACTTGAATCAATAGAGTCAAAACATGGCACTATACTAACAATATAACATGTGATAAAATATGCACAAGCACTCCAAGGTTGTTCCCTCACAGGAACAACTAATCAATACAATAGAATACAGTGGAGGGTGTGCTAAACAGTATTAAAACAATATGTATACTATCAAGAGAGTGATAAACTGGTATCTCCATGTCAAACTCAAATATACATAAAAAAATGCAAAAAATGAAAAAGAAAGAACATATTGTACAACCTGTAACCTGTAAAAAAAACAAGTATAACAAAATAAAAAAGGAACAACCTTTCAAGATATATATATATATATATATATATATATTTTTATATATTTATACACTGAACAAAATTATAAACGCAGCCCTTTTGTTTTTGCCCCCATTTTTCATGTGTGGCATATCAAGATGCTGATGATGGGTATTACACAGGTGTGCCTTAGGCTGGCCACAATAAAAGGCCACTTTAAAATGTGCAGTTTTATCACACAGCACAATGCCACAGACGTCGCAAGTTTTGAGGGACCATGCAATTGGCATGCTGACTGCAGGAATGTCCACCAGAGCTGTTGCCCGTGAATTGAACATTCATTTCTCTACCATAAGCCGTCTCCAAAGGCATTTTAGAGAATTTGGCAGTACATCCAACTGGCCTCACAACCGCAGACCACGTGTAACCACACCAGCCCAGGACCTCCACATCCAGCATCTTCACCTCCAAGATCATCTGAGACCAGCCACCCGGACAGCTGCTGCAACAATCAGTTTGCATAACCAAAGAATTTCCGCACAAACTGTTAGAAACCGTCTCAGGGAAGCTCGTCCTGACTGTAGTTCGTCTTAGTAACCGACTTGAGTGAAATAAAATATTCACATTTGATGAATCCTGGTTTTCACTGTTTAGGGCAGATGGCAGACAGCGTGTATGGTGTTGTGTGGGTGAGCGGTTTGATGATGTCAACGTTGTGGATCAAGTGGTCCATGGTGGCGGTGGGGTTATGGTATGGGCAGGTGTATGTTATGCAACAACAATAAAGTTTTGTGAATGGTTGGAACGCACGGATGAGTTCCAAATACAGACGCAACGGTTATGTAGTATGGATTAATGCTGTGACGAGTGACGTCACATTCAGAGGACGGGAATCAAGGAAGAAGAAACCGAGTGTTTCTAGTCTTCAATCATCAACGATATATAAGAGACCAACCACCCGGGAAGATTAGAAGCAACTGAGAAAGCCTATTTGAGAGGCGAAACGCGTATTGCTACCCAAATGTGGACTTTACAGTAATTTTATTTATTTATGTGTTTTACCGTGTGACCTTTAAAGGATTTTTACACCGCTACCACCGTCTAAATGGATCTATTAAGTGGACCAGAGGATGCAACAGCAGCATCCCTTTTGATATTCCCACAGGCATTCCCATTGAGCCTAATAATACTGTATCTTCCCTTGTGAGTACAAGAAGACTAAAGATTGTCCTTTTATCTACATACCTGTATCTTATGATATTGCACTAGCTTTTTGTTATTCCCTTTGTTTTTTACAGTGTACATCACTATCTATTTCTACACCATCTAATAGTGTCTACCCAATTACACTCCGCCTACTGTACATGTATGCATAATTTGTATTAGTGTGGGTAGAGAGGTTACCACACAGGTGTTTAGAGTGTGTTGGAGAACTATTTGGGTTACACACAAGGATTTTGTATTTTTTTTCTGTCAGGTGTATGTTATTGTCAGGGTGGCGGTCCGGTGACAGGGACCCAGACACTGTCTGGGCGGCGGTCGGACGACCGGGACCCAGTATGCCTGATGTTGAAGTAGGATTCACAGTGTGGAAGTGGATTAGCAGGGTCTGGTGCAGGGTAACCGCACGCCCCCTGGTGTTGAGCACCAGCGTTTGTGCAGCCACATACCAGCACCCTGATGCAGCTACTGTGGATCCCAGCAACTAGGAGCTTGGAAATAAGCAGACCTCCAAGGAGCTGAATAGGGAGGCTCTGCAGCAGGAATGTATCCAGTACAGAAAACAAGGCAAGACTAGAACAGACACCAAACATAAAAACAAGACAGAACTAGTAGAACCCAGAACCAGAGAAGGATAGGAAGCTAAACCCAGAACATGTACACAATATATAAGGGAAACATTAGCAGAACAGGGGCAGGACAGGACTGTACATGGACTGGGAATACAAACTAAAACAAGACAAGATATAATAGGCAAAACAAGAGTAGACATAACTAAGTACTATATGTGAAAAACTATGGGGATTTAGTCACATTATATGATCATACATTGCACAAGCCTGCCACAATGCCAATGTACCCCATATTTGTCAGGTCCTATCTAACTGCCTAATGTCTGCTAAATGAACCGTAATAAAGCACTTACCTGCAAGAAAGGACAGAAGACTTGATCAGCTGCCTGCAGGAACAAACTGAAACAAAAGGAATCATGGAAAAGGAAATGGGTGTGGCAAAATAAACAAACATTTAG